TAAAATTTTATTAAAAAATTTTAAAATTTAAAAAAGTTTGCAGGCAAATTTGGCTGCAAAACAATTTAAGGGATAGAATATTAACCTTTTTAGTCATTAATAATATTTTAGATATATATAAAAGTTAAATTTTACTTTTACAAATTTACTAAAACAGAAATTAACCGAAATAAAAAACTTACAACCTCAAACCTTAGCTGCTTTTGTCAAATTTATTAAAATCAAGATCTCTTTATTCAAAACAATACTCTTGTATTTACTGGAAATCAAGTTGCTATAACCAATGAATCTAATCTTTCTACATCATTCATACTTGAAGGAAACCAAGTACCAACTTTGAATGATTTACTTGATAAATATTTCCCAAAGCCAGATTTGGACAACTTTGTCTATAACTTACCAGAAGTACCAAATTAAGAAACTTTTAGTAAAAAGATTAAAAAAGATTTAATAGACCAGAATAAGAACTTTTCTATTAGAGCCAAACTAATATTAGATTCTATTTGGAAAAATCAAGTTACTGAAATTGCTTTTTGATTAAGTTGAATCCCAAGAGGAAGCTAAAGAGAGAAACAGATTAAAACTTTAGAAATTTGTTATTATTTGAGAAAACTGCGAAGTGAATTTGCTAACAACTATAACACTATCAAAGAAATTAAGGATAAAATTAGAGTCTCATTAGGATCTTGCTGAACTAGTAATATTCAAAGATGTGCTGAATGTATATACTAAGTCTTTTAACATTAGAATTTGTCACAGCTCTACTATACTCAATACCTCTCTATGAGTAGCTTTAATCGACTAAACAATAAAAGTTTTTTAGAATTACTAACTTATGAAGTTTGCTCTTAAAGAGGATGGAAATATTGTAGAATGTGCAAATGCTTAAGAACATATTAAAGATTATATTTTTAAAAGATCTAGAAGATTATAATAATTATAACAAGCTACAATATATGTTAAATGGACTATTAAATAGCTAGCAATTGACAAACAAAAATAGACAATAGCTGGAATGTACCTTTTATACCTTTTGTATCTTTTATACCTTTTATATCTTTTATACCTTTTATACCTTTTGTATCTTTTATACATTTAGTATCTTTTATACTTTTTTTACCTTTTGTATTGCTGTTATTGTATAATTTATATTAGTTGTAAAAGCTATATAAATTTTTTGCATTTTAGAATTTGTTCCTTACAATCTTTAAGTTATTAGGATTCTTTAGATATAGATACTTTAGAATAGCCTTATACCTTGATATTGTACTGTAAATAAATATATCTTAATAAACATATATTTTACTCTTGTACTGTATAAACTATATCGAATTGCCCTAGTGAAGTAATATTCTACTTCTATATCATTTCATATCTATTCTGACTCTATATAGATCCCTGTTACCATGCAAGTATTATATTTTAAAGAAGGCTATAGTTCACTTGTAACAGTATGTATGTGTTGATAGATCTAATAGGCTTTAGTACTCATATAGAAGCTTTTGGGTATTAAGAGAACTTAGAACTACTAATATAAATATAGCTAGTATAAATACAGTTAACTCTTTTTTATCCAAACAGCCCATTCTTGAGTTTTAAGTTCAGTTTTCAAAGAGGTATTATAAGCTTATCCGAACTTTATAATAAAATTTATAAATATTTTAAGTTTTAGTTTGGTTAAGAGAGAGTTGACTACATATATAATAGTAACTAGAGCTACAACTGCTGAGAATTACTATAAAAAAAATGATAATGTATCTGTTATTTTTATACTTCTAAGCTTTATAATACTATCCAACTATATTAACTACTAAAAGTATTTGTAAAATATACTTGGGTATCTTGTTATCATATTGGAAAATATAATTATTAGTATAATTATTAAATTTGATATGTTAAAATTTAGATTTCAAAGTCATAGTAAACAGATTTTGATCAATATAACTCTTTCTAACAATCATTTGAACCAAATTTTCTGATGAAAAGAAAAGTCTATTTTCAATACTAAGGTAAATCAACAGGGTAGTTTTTATAAAGATTAATCTTTTCTACATTCTGAGGACTTCTTTATATATTCAACATGCAAGCCAAAAGTGTCTGTATACAAGATAACTAGCAAAAGATAGTGCTCTTGTATATGAAATTTTGGTAAATAGGTGGAGGTACAGTAATAGAAGCCTAAGCTTTTTATTAACGAAGCTATCAGTTACAAAACAACTAAGAAACAGTAAAGAATGAGCTTTCTTTAAGCCACACTCCTTTTTTTTGGCCAAGTGGTTCTTACTATTCTTTTTTTGCTTTCTAGTCATTCTTCTAAAATTTTTCAACAAAAAGTGGGGATTTGGTTTATCCCTTACAAAAGATCGGCATTGTTTACTTCTTAAATTTGGATAGTCAAGTAGAATGCAACCACATGTTTGTTTGCAGACAGATATAGGAACTCTAATTACGGCAGCAAAAAACAGGTGGCTTGAGATATGGATCTACTGGACGGCAGCAGCATCTGGCTTGAAATATGAATTAGACAGGCAATGGAGCTATCTAAAGTTGGTAGAAAGGTTAGAGAGTAAATTTAATATTAAAGTAAAGCTTTACAGAAGAGATATACAAATGTTGTATTTGTTATATAATTTTTACTAACCTTGTACAAGTTATAATAGTGCCCTTAGGGTTTTAAATTTCTTTTTTGTTTTTTGTAATTTGTATTTATTTTTTCTTGTTTTTGTTTGGTTTTCATATCACCTATGACCCACCAACCCGCTGTTTTCATTATCCCTAGGACATCTATAAAAAATTAACTAAAAAAAATTTTTGGCCGGTAATTTTTTTGGCATGATTGGTATATAAAAAATATATTTTTGAATTCGTTTAATTTAATATTAATATAATATCTTCATTATAAATTAAATATATTTTTGAATTCGTTCAATCTTTATTTACTATAATATTGATATAATATCTATATATGTCTAAATTATATTTTCTATTTCAAAAATTGCTACAATAAATATAATACCTGTTCTATATATAAATAATTTTATTATTATTAAAATTTCGTTTGAACACTTGCCTAATATATTTAGCATGTGAAAGTTTATAGAAAAAATTATTCTTGTCAACTAATAAAACTTGATACAAGATTGGGAGAGATAGCTATATAGCTTAAAATATAAACTTTCTCTATCAAGTATAAACTAAAAGCAAAAAATATCTATCTGACAATACATAACAGATTTGAAGTAAACCAGAAATTGGCAAAATCAGATAAAAAGATATCTAGCAAGTAGTTTTACCAACCTGGCCAGCAAAGTCTATAGACAAGTAACTAGACTAGGCCTATACTATGGTAAAATTAGTTAAAAAGCATTTTCACTTAATAGACAGCTGTGATTTTATTTCAGCTTAACTGAAATATTTCGAAATTTTTTCAAAATATAATAATTTTAAAATATTTTGAAAATATTAAACTTTTGCTATTACTGTATTACAAGATTATATCACTGATCACAGATCAGATATAAATAAAATCTTATTTTTTTTTTTTATTACTTTTTCTGTTGTTCTGTTTTAATTTATTTTTTTATATACTTTTGTTAGCAAATAAAGTTATTTGTTTTACAGTACTAACACTTATTTTTTTTTTCTTCAAGTGATAGTTTAATATTTTCATTTCATCATTTAGTACTTTTGTTTTTTTCTTTTATCGTTGGTGTCATCAAGTTCAGTGCTTTTTTCTTTATCGTTGTCAAATTTGGTGCTTCTTTCTTCATTGCTAGTACTTTGAGTTCAGAGGTTCTTTCATCGAATATCACACAGATCAGATATAAATAAGATCTGTATTTTTTTTTATTACTCTTTCTGCTATTCTGTTTTTGTTTTAATTATTAACGCTTATTCTTTTTTTTTTCTTTAGGTGATAATTTTATATTTTCATCTTGTTATTTGGTACTTCTGTCTTTTTTTTCGTTATTGATGTCATCAAGTTTGGTGCTTTTTTCTTCATCATTGTCAAATTCAGTGCTTTTTTCTTCATCGCTAGTGTCTTCGAATTCGGAGGTTCTTCCTTCATATTAGTGTTGTTAAAAGTCACAGATAAGATATAAATAAGATCTGTATTTTTTTTTTATTACTCTTTTTGCTGTTCTGTTTTGTTTTAATTAGTACTACAGTACTAATGTTTATTTTTTTTTTTTTTCAGGTGATAGTTCTTTTATTTATTTTGTTGTTTGGTACTTTTGTCTTTTCTTTTGTCATTAGTGTCATCGAGTTCAGTGCTTTTTTTCGTTACTAGTATCTTCGAGTTTGGAGATTCTTCTAACATCACAGATCAAATATAAATAAGATTTGTATTTTTTTTTTATTATTTTTTTGGTATTCTGTTTTTGTTTTAATTAGTACTATAGTACTAACGCTTATTCTTTTTTTTTCTTCAGATACTAGTTTATACTTTCATTAATTTTGTCGTTTAGAATTGTTAGTGATATCGAGTTCAGTACTTTTTTTTTTGTTGTCAAGTTCAGTATTTCTTTCTTTGTCGCTGGTGTCTTCGAGTTTGGAGGTTTTTTTCTTCATGCTGGTGTTATCAAATTCAGTGGTGGCTCTTGTTTCATCACTTGTATTATCAAATTCGGTAATAGGTTATCTTTATTACAGGTTTCTGATTCGGATTCTTTTATTAAACTATGCTGCTATGCTAGATTAATATATCAAAAAATTAGGGTAGAGTTAGGTGCTAGTATTTTAAACCGCAAAAATAGTATAGAGCTGTTTATGTAATAAATATGTAATAAATATGTAATAAGTATATAATAAATATATAATAAATAATAAAAAAATTTAATATAAAATTTATATAATAATTATATATTACGTTTCGTAAATTGCAATATTTATATAATATTATATATACTGCATAATTTTGAATTTTGTAAATTATTGCAAAATATATTGCAAAATATTTCAAAATTTTTGCAATTATTTCGAAATATATTGTGAAATATTTTGAAATTTATTGCAAATATTTCTAAATATTTTGAAAATATATTCTGAAATTTTTCAAAATTTTTTGTATAAGATTTCAAAATTAAAAATTCTGAAATATTCCACATCAATCGTAATTCTTGTGAAAGATTTCAGAGTGTAATTTTTTTCGCAAAATTTTAGTTATATATTTTGTTAATGATAGTTATATTTATTAGTATAGTATTTATTATCTTTATTATTATTGTATTATTGTATTAGTTATAGAAATATTATTGGCTAGTTATATATGGCACAGTAATACTACATAAGTATTTCCAAGTGCCTCTGTACAAGTGCCTCCAAGTAGTGTTGTACATGAGACGTGTCCACACTATGTAAAATGTCTAACGTCCAAGATTGTCCAAAATCGTCCAAGCCTATATCCCAAATTTAACTAATCAATAAAGTAATTTAAAAAGAATTATTATAAAATGCACTTATAGTGTTTTTATACCTATATATAATTTCTTTTAATAAAATTTAGAGTTAGGGTTAGAAAATTAAGAATTATTTTTTTTTATATAATATATTATAGAGCTACTATAAGAGCCTGATAGGGCCTGATCTTAGTTTTCATGAGGTTTTTGGGATCCTGAACATTTTAATTTAGAGAACCCGATTTCGTTTACTTAGTATATTTTTGAGAAACAGGACCTATAGTGTAAAAACATCATAGGTGCATTTTAATAAAATTCTTTAAAAAAATATATAATTATATATTTTTTTAAATGCTAAACTCATTGATAAAAAAATTAAAATAAATTATCTTAATAAAATTTTGAATAATTTTAATTTGAAAAAATGATCAAAATTGTCCAAAATTGTCCTATATATAACACTGCCTTCAAGTGCCTCTGTACAAGTGCCTTCAAGTGCCTCTGTATAAGTGCTTCTAAATACTTCTTATACGGTTTAGCCGTTATACCTCTTATGTATAGAAAAGTTATAAAAAGGAAGCCTTTGCCCCTTCTGCTCAAGTTAGAGTTTTTCTACTCTTTTATAAAATTTAGCTTTATACTATCTTACTCTTCTTATATTTGTATAGTGTGATATTCTCTCTCTAGGGTAAATTCTACAAGCAAGGTTATCACTATAACATTTGTATTTAAATAAAATTAATACATGTTACACTCATGGTTGGTTCTCCAATAGTATCTGGGTTCCCAAGTACTTAATAAGGGAAGTGACTATCAAGAAGAAGTCAGGATAAAAAAAAAAACTATTATAATGAATAATTTATTATATAACAATAAACTCGGATCACAAGTATTGTCTAGTATGATACAGGTAATTGATTATCTGTGATTAATCAGTTAATATGAGACAACACATAAAGAATATATAATAAGAATTATATTATGATGTAATTAAGAGTTAAATTAAGAGTTTTATTAATATTAGAATATAAAATATGATGTAATTAATTAAGAGTAAAATATGTATATAAAACAATTAAAGAGAAAAAGGAAGAGGTTAGTTCTTTCTCTTTTTGAGATCGAAGAAAAAATAATAAAATCATAAAATTTTACTATTTTCGATCTTTGTACAAGTATAATAAATAATAATAAGTTAGCTGCTCACGTAAAGAAATCATAAAAACATTAAATAAATAAAAGGTACTTTCTGAGAAAAACATTTAAAAACGACGAAAGGATAAGTAATTTGATAAATACAGTAATATTGGAGCTCTACTATTAGTAGTTATGTACTGCCGTAACAGAAAAACCTGGGTACAATGAAAATCTCGCTTGCTATAAAAAACATGGCTGTTCTTGGAGGATAAGAAGAGGGTGATACTGGGTAAAATCATTCTTATTTGTTAAAAAAAAAAAAAAAAATGTAAGCCATGTAATCCCTGGTACTAGGCTATAAATAAGTACTGCACAAAGCAATAAAGATAAAAGATCTTATAAGTTACATAATTCCTAGTACTAGGCTATAAATAAATATTGTACAAGGCAATTAAAAAAAAAAAAAAAAAAAACCTCCTCGATAATAAACTAAAGGAACAAAAAAGAACTTAAAATAATTTGAATAGGTATTTTAGCAAAGCTATGAAGGGTAGAAGAACTTGCACGATACTCCAGTCCATTCTATAGACTAAAGACAATGGGAGCATCTGATCTATTTACACTAGTTATAAGAACATTGAGGAATTCTTATTTATTTCGAAGTGTATATAGCTTCAAAGGACTGGAATGATGGAAAAAAAAACTTGGTAATTATATTATATGTGCAGACAAGTTGAAGCCATTAGTAATACAATTAATGAAAATTCATTTAACTTGGAGTAGTTTAAAAGTGGCCATGGTAACAAAATAGGCAACATTGTCAGATTTCAATAAAAAGTTGAAGTGCTTACAAAATATGATTCAAGAGACTAGTGATACTGTTCAGATGCATACTAACTGCTTTAATATATATATCACCGAGATAAAAGATCAACTAAGGGATTTGAAGAAAAGGAAATAGTATATACAGGGTCTTAAGAGTCTATATCAAGAAAGAGTTGCTAGTGTGCGACCGGATATATATAAAAATGCAAAGGAAATAGTGATTAAAATGAAGAAGTATAACCAAAACAGAAAATATATTAGCAAAGATTTAGTTAAAGCAGTAACCAGAAAAGCAAATAAAACTAGTAAAGAAAAAGTTGATGTGTTTCCTGTTACACAAAAAGCAACTAAGATTTGTTGAGTTGAGGATCAATATCCTTCAAATACTGAAAAGTTAAATCGAATAGAAACAAATATTGTAAAGTTATTAAAAACTATACAAACCCTTATAGATAGGAAACACAACATGTTCCCGCAAAGGTCTACATGACACTAAATAGAGGAAATATAAACCAAGAAGAAGCAATATATTTCACAGATGTTTTGCGTGTAAACAAGAAGTACACGTAGCACAAAATTGTCCAAGACAGCTGAGCCAAAATTTAAGTATAAAACAGGCAAATTTGAACTCTAATATACAAGTAAATAAACCAAATATAAGTGTGCTGATATAAGGGGTCTTTGCCTTGAAAATTAAGTATGAAACATATGATTTACTATGTTCTATAACTTGATTTTCAAGGCAAAGACCCTATAAGGTTGTTCAAAGTCACAAAAAAAATGATACCAAAAGAATACAAATATCTTATAATACATATAAACAAAGACAAAACACTGTTTGATATCAAAAATCTTGAGAAAAGACAACAATTAAATGCAGAAGAAACAATATATGTCACTAAAAAAAGAAAAGAGATAAAGCTCTCTAGCCTTGTTGATTTAAGTAGTAACGAAGTTCCTAACAAGGGATCTGTCATATACATACCAATAACCGAACTAGCCCAGAAAATAGACATTCTCAAGCTAATAGCAAAAAAGAAAATAATAATCATATTAGGGCAATTGTTCAAGTGGTCTCCTAAGGCTTATATAAAAGTATTTAAGATATTGGCAAGAAAAAAAAAAAAAAAAGATGTACTTTTCATGAATGCGAAAATAGGGGTTGTATGGAGAGTCCTGGAGAACAATGAATTGAAAGTGGGAGATGTACCAATGAGTAAGCTGAAAATTAATAGTAAAGTAGTTTCTGTATCTGTAGACCTGGGGTCTCGCTTAAATTTGATGCATGAGAAATATGCCTGAAGGAGAGGCTTTACTTGGCAACTAGCTAGCAAAGATGAGCATATAACGAATAATCGTCTGAGTAAATTTATAGAATGTGTTGTAAATATTGAAATAGATATAGAAAGTATTGTTGTGTAGAGTTGTTAATAGCTTGAGCAACTTGGCTTGGCTTTTAAAAGCCATGGCTCTGGCTTGAGCCATGGCTATTGAAGTTATGGCTTAAGCCATAGCCCAAGCTATAGCTTAAGCTATGGCTCAAACCATGGCTCAAACTATAGCTCAAGCTATGACTCAAACTATGGCTCTAGTAGTTATTGCTAGAAATATAATACTCTAATAGCATTAATTAATGTTTGTAATTAGCATATGGAATAGAATTATATACATATGAGCTCTTTAATAAATTAGCAATAAACTTTTTTGAAAATACTACTTAATATTATACTTTTATAAATAAATTATTAAAGCTACAGCTTAAGCTGAGCCACAATTAAGCTGTGGCTCTAAGTTATATCTCAAGCTACAAATTAAACTACAACTCTAAAGTGCAGCTTAATTACTGTAGCTTATTGGCTTAGGCTGGCTTGGCTCTATTATACAGCTAAAGCTGGCTTCAAATAAGCTATTAACAACTCTATTGTTCTATATAATAGAGTCGGTCAGCTTTGACGTGTTGCTTAGTATGCTGTGGCTAGCTGTGTCTAAATACAGTCTAAAATAGAAAAATAATATGCTCTGGTGCAATGTATAGTTAGATAAAAGAAAAGCAGCTTTTATAATCTCAGTAGTACCAACTAGCTAGATAGATGCGAATGATGAGAATGAAGAAGATGAAGAGGATGGAATTAAAGACTTAATAGAGGTATGAAGGGTAGAAGCTAAGGAAGAAAGTGTAAAACAACAATTGAAAAGCACTATGACCAAAGGCTC